AAGCTCCTAGTGGGAGGCGCCGCGGCGGCAAGAGCAAGGGAGGCAAGGGTGGTGGGGGTGGCGACGATGGAGGCGGTGGTGGAGGCGGTGGAGGCGGTGGAGGTGGCGGTGGTGGCGGTGGGAGTGGTGGTGGGGGTGGAGGCGTCGGTGGCGGTGATGGTGGTAGCGGTGGGAGTGGTGGCGGCGGTGGTGGCAGCAGTGGGAGTGGTGGCGGCGGCAGTGGTGGCGATCAGGGTGGAGCGGTCCAGAGCAGAGGTTCTGGCGGTGGCCGGAGGCAGCAGCAGCAGCAACGTCCGCGCGAGACCCTTACGCCCCAGCAGCTTCGTGAGTGGTTTGCTCAGCGTGGGGCGTCTGGGGGTAGTGTTCGCTGCCCGTACGTCATCCACAGAGGTGATCGGGCTGGTCAGACTTGCGGGAAGGTTGGTCACACTCAGTCCCGCTGCTTCTCCCGTCTTGACGACGCCAGGCGCGAAGAGTTTGGCGACGAGGCTGTGCTCCCCCGCTGGTGGGAGGTGCTTACGGATTATGTGGATATATTTGCTCTTGACTATGACGCTATCCTTGCTGGCATGTATGCTTTGACTGTTAGTGCTGAGGGTGATTGTTACCAGTGTGTGCCGCCCGACCCAGGTATAGAGGCTGCTGCTCTAGGTGCTAGTGAGTCTTCTCTCTCTAGTTTTGCGCCTGCTGAGGCCTTGCACACCTTCACGCTTGACTCAGGTGCTTCCCGCTGCTTCTTTCGCGACAGTACCACAGTCACACCACTCCCTGCACCTGTTGCAGTCTCTCTGGCTGACCCCTCCGGGGGCCCAGTTCTTGCACGTTCCTCCACTGTTCTTCCGTGTCCGGCGGTTCCGTCTGGCTCATTCTCAGGTCTTCACCTCCCCAAGTTCTCTACAAATTGGTGAGTACCGCTGCCCTCCAAGATGACGGCTGAGGTTCAGCGTGTGTCGATCTGCACGTGTGCACGGACGGGCCGTCACCTGGCCACGTTCACCCGTCGGCCTGGGTCGAGTCTGTACACACTCAATACTGAGCCTGCTCAGGTGGCTGGGTCTGGTCAGGTGTCCGCGTCAGGTCAGGTAGCAGCCCCCTGTTCGTGTCGCCTCCTCACGCACCAGACTCTCCTTTGGCACCACCGCCTTGGTCACCCCTCCCTGCCACGCCTCCGTGGCATGCACTCCCGCCTCCTTGTCTCTGGTCTTCCCAGGTCTTTGCATTCCCTCCCCCCCTCGCCTGTGCCTCCCTGCCTTCCTTGCGTCGAGGGGCGGCAGCGCGCCGCTCTTCACTCCTCCTCGTTCCCCCCAACGAGTGCTCGTCTGCATACTCTCTATATGGACGTGCGGGGCCAAGCCCGCGTCAATGGACAGGACCGCGAGCGATACTTTCTGCTGGTTGTTGACGACTACTCGCGTTACACCACGGTCTTCCCCTTGCGCAGCAAGGGGGAGGTCCCTGATGTTTTGATCCCTTGGATCCGCGCTGTCCGTCTCCAGCTCCGCGAGCGGTTCCGCCAGGACCTTCCTGTCCTGTGTCTGCACTCTGACAAAGGTGGTGAGTTCTCCTCCGACCTCCTTCGGGACTTTTGTCGTGGGGAGGGCATCCTCCAGTCGTTCACGCTTCCGGCCTCCCCGCAGCAGAATGGGGTTGCTGAGTGCCGCATTGGCTTAGTCATGGAGGTGGCTCGTACCTCCTTGATCCATGCGGCTGCTCCCCATTTTCTGTGGCCGTTTGCGGTCCGGTACGCTACACATCAGCTCAAACTCTGGCCCCGTGTCTCCTTGCCGGAGACCTCGCCTACACTGCGTTGGACGGGGAAGGTTGGCGATGCGTCGTTGTTCCGGTTCTGGGGCTCTCGTGCCTTTGTCTGCGATACCACCGCGGACAAGCTCTCCTCTCGCGCCATTCCCTGCGTCTTGCTTGGCATTCCCACTGACGCGCCTGGCTAGTAGTTTTACCACCCCACCTCGCGCCGTGTTCTGTCCTCTCAGGACGTCACGTTTGACGAGTCGGTTCCCTTCTACCGCCACTTCCCGTACCGCACTGCCCCTCTCCCCACCCCCGCCGCTCTTCTTCGCTCGAGGTCCCCCTCCGGTAGACCCCCTCCCCCCTCAGGGTCCTGCTCCTTCAGGTGTGTCTCAGGTAGACCCTCCCCTTGGCTGAGCCTTTCGATGTCACTTTCGACACCTCCGCCCCAGCTAAGGGGGGTGACGTTGCTGCTGACGACGCAACGGCTGACCACGCCGCTCACCATGCTTGGAGACCCCTCCGGGTTTTCCACCTCGACCGTCTTCGCCGCCTCTGCAGCCGGTTGCTGTCGACTCTGGTGCTGCTGGGGGTGGTGCTGCTAGGGGTGCTGAGCCTGGGGGGTGCTAGGCCTGAGTGTGCGGAGCCTGGGGGTGCTGAGCCTGCGGGTGCGGAGCTTGGGGGTGCTGAGCCTGAGGGTGCTGAGTCTGGGGGTGCTGAGCCTAGGGGTGCGGAGTCTGGGGGTGCTGAGCCTGGGGGTGCGGAGCCTGGGGGTGCTGAGTCTGGGGGTGTTGAGCCTGGAGTTCCTATGGGTGCCTTGCCGCAGCAGTCTAGCCGGCGGGAGCCTCTCTCACCACAGCAGCTGCGCGAGTGGTTTGCTCGGCGCACCCGCCTTCGGAGTGGCGCTGCTGGAGCTGGAAGCACTACCGCTGGAGGTGTTGGCGCTGGAGGCACTGCCGCTGGAGGCAGCTCGCCGTGCTCGTCGTGTTCCCCGTCCTCGTCCTCCACCTGTTGTCGGCACGCACACCATGGCACTCCGTCCTTCCTCTGTTCCACAGCGAGTTCCCCTGCCGTCTCCGCCGGCGTCCTCTCTTCCTGACGTTCCGGACCCTGAGTCTGACTTGGTTCGTGCTGCCAGCCCTACTGTCACGCGTCTTCTCACCACTGTTGTCACTGACCCTTCTTTTGAGTCCACTACTGCGACTGCCTTAGTTGTCGAGCTTCTTGACTTTGCTGCTGCGTGTCGCCTAGACTACGCCACTAGTCTTGTTGCTGAGTCTGAGTCTGTCTGTCCTCCGTCCGTTGGGGGTGAGTGTGCTCTTGGCACGGACGTCCTTGAGGACAGGCAGGAGGACTTTGAGTGTCTTGCAGCTGCTGTACCTCATCTCGTGGCCATGCTGCTTGCACCTGAGGGAGACCTGGATGCACTGGACATCCCGACCCCGCGCTCTTACGCAGAGGCGATTACGGGTCCCTACTCCTCTCAGTGGCAGACACCCATGGACGCAAAGATGGCATCCTGGAAGTCCACTGGCACTTACGTCGACGGAGTTCCCCCTTCTCGGGCGAACATAGTCGATGGCATGTGGATTTTCAGGGTGAAGCGGCCGCCGGGTTCTCCGCCTGTCTTCAAGGCTCGTTACGTTGCACGAGGCTTTAGTCAGCGACAGGGAGTTGACTTCTTCCAGACCTTCTCCCCTACCCTGAAGATAACTACTCTTTGGGTGTTGCTGCACGTTGCCGCTCAGCGTGACTACGAGCTTCACTCCCTTGACTTCATAACAGCATTCGTGCAGGGCAGCCTGCATGAGGAGATCTGGCTGCGCCGTCCTCCTGGCTTTACTGGGTCGTTTCCTGAGGGTACCCAGTGGAGCCTCCGACGGCCAGTCTACGGTCTCCACCAGGCGCCTCGTGAGTGGCACGACACACTGAGGACGACACTTGCGGCTCTTGGGTTTGCTCCTTCGACTGCTGACCCGTCGCTGTTTCTGCGCACCGACACTTTGCTGCCGCCGTTCTACATCCTCGTGTGCGTCGACGACTTGGTTTTTGCCACTGCTGACACTGAGGCACTGGCCCTTGTGAAGTCGGAGCTGTAGAAGAGACACACTTGCACTGACCTGGGTGAGCTGCACAGCTACCTTGGCTTGCAGATCATCCGGGACAGAGCACGGCGCACCATCACCCTGACTCAGTCACATATGGTGCAGCAGGTCCTTCAGCGCTTCGACTTCCAGTTCTCCTCGCCACAATCCACTCCTCTGCCTACCGGTCACTCGCTCTCAGCTCCACCTTTGGACGAGTCCATAGAGCCGAGTGGCCCATATGCAGAGCTTGTGGGCCGCCTCATGTACCTGATGACCTGCACTCGACCTGACCTTGCGTACCCTCTTAGCATCCTGGCTCGCTACGTTGCGCCTGGGAGACACCGGCGAGAGCACTGGGAGGCTGTTAAAAGGGTGCTGCGCTACTTGTGCAGTACATCGGGCATGGAGTTGGTGCTTGGAGGACGGGGTCGAGTTGTCCTCACTGGACACTCAGACGCCTCTTGGGTTGACGACCTGGCTACGCAGCGGTCGTCACAGGGTTACACCTTCAGCCTTGGCTCCGGCTCTGTTTCTTGGCGGTCTACCCGCTCGTCTTCTGTTCTCAGCTCCAGTTGAGAGGCTCAGATCTACGCAGGAGCCATAGCTGCACAGGAGTTACGCTGGCTCACCTACCTGCTGACCGACTTGGGAGAGTGGCCTCGTTCTCCTCCAGTTCTGTACGTAGACAACAAGGCCGCTATTGCCTTGTGTGAGGAGCACAGACTAGAGCACAGAACAAAGCACATCGCTCTGCGCTACTTCCTTGCTCGAGAGTTGCAGCAGCGTGGTCAGCTTCATCTTGCTGACATGGCCACACGGGCCAACATTGCTGATATATTCACCAAGGCACTTTCGCCTGGTGATCATCAGCGTTTCTGTACTGCTCTAGGCCTTGTGCCTGCTTTGTCTCACTTGCTCACTAAGTGACCTTGCTTGTACTATGATATATATATACGTATGTGTCTATATATATATATACCTGCTTGCTTACACTTGCTAGGTTGTGATCACTGTATTGTTTGTTCTCTTTTATATACCTTTGCATGTGAACTGGCCTTGTGGCCATTTGCTTGTGCTCGGACTGTGTGGTGACTTCGTGATCCACCCTGAGCTTGCTTTGCTTTTCTTGACTGGTCTTGTGACCACTTGTTCTCCCCCACTTTGCCTATGGAGGTGTGCCAAAACATGATAATGTTTGTCTTGTGTAGACTGTAGTGGGGTAGCCCATAAGGGGTACAACCCAATTAGGGTTAGTACTTGTACCCACATTCCTTCTCTCAATACAGCCATTCTCGTTAAGTTTCTTGACAATTCCCTATACTCCAACTGAGAAATCAATGCAAATATAAACAAGATACTGAAATTTCAGGGAAAACGAGAAGAAGAAGAAGAAAATTTAAAAAAAAAAAAAAACAACAACAACAACAACAACAACAACAACAACAACAACAACAACAACAACAACAACAACAACAACAACAACAACAACAACAACAACAACAACAAAACAAAATCAAAATCAAAATCAAAATCAGCGCAATCAGTATCAATTACGCTGATAAATGAGGGCCTGACGGTAACTTTTGGGATGCTACAAAGGATGCACATTTTTTAAGATAGTACCTATTTATATATGATCAACATAAAGTTTATTAAAATTCCTAGACCGACTCCACAAATATGATAGAGTCTGTATTGCTGGGCCACAATCCCTTGTCACATAAAATCGCTTCCATCGCTGTTCTCGTGTTCCCCCCTACGCCACGCAGCGGCAAACATGCAATCTGCGGAGTGAATATGCGAGGTGATATAGTCCTCCGTGCGCCCATCCAGGAATCCCCTGCCACTCTCGCTCTCCACCTCCACCGGCTCGCGCAGCAGGCGGGTCAGCAGGCGGTACCGCAACGAGCGCACCTTGCGGGATTCCTTGGCTCATAAGGTCTGATCCAGCACGCCGTGAATGCCACTCGTGTGCTGCAGAAGTGAGGAAGGAGAGAGGGGGCGAGAGGGGGAGAGGAGGGAGATGGGTGAAGGGAGATGACAGTACGGGACAACGTGACAAAATGTTTCCATATAGCACACAGTGTGGCACAGCACAGCTAACACCAGGCAAACAAATGTTTCCATATAGCAGACAGTGTGGCACAGCACAGCTAACACATGTCAACCAATCACATGTAAAAGAAAAAAACAGAACAAAAAAAAAAAAAAAAAACGTGTTGCTCACATTGAGCCACGCAATGTACATATTGAAATGCGCCTGGGCCTCCGTAGCCGTCTTCATGAGCGGATGTGCCAAACGTGCCGTGTTGCCCATGTCCACCAGGCCGTTGATGGTGAGATGAAACTCATCCTCGTCCTTCCCTTTGCAACTCCATCACGGCCCTTGATATCAGGGTAAAATACCCTGATTACCCTGATTTCAGGGTTGACATAACCCCCTTGCCCTGAAGAATCAGGGTCGAAGTTTTTCAAGCCCTGAGGTTTCAGGATATCTGTGTTTTATCACCCTGAGATTTCAGAGTAGTGTACACCTGCCTGCCCTGAGGCGTCAGGGTTCTTGTATGGCGTACCCTGAAACAGGTACACTGTGCGCCTACGGGGCCAGTCCTTGATTTCCGAGAGTTGGCGCCGAAAACACGCGAGTCGCCCACCACCACTCACATTGACAACAAAATGGCCCACATGGGGCAACATACAGCGATGCGGCAGGCGTGACTGCCAGTTACAGTACCCCCTTCACACCCACCACTAACACTTTACCACATGCACGAACTCAAACGTCTGCTACTGCATATCCCTAGTTGACCAATCATAGCACATTGTTAGTCAAGTTCCCGCGTATTGCCTCTGTGCGCTGGCATTGCCCAAGACGTCTGCCAACTCCCATCACCCCACCCCTCTCAAGCCAGTGCAGTGCATGTTGGTGGCACCTAGCCACCTCGTAGTAGTAGTAATCCACCAGGCGAACATAGTGTAGCAAGTACTGTGTTTTAATTACAAACAAAAAAATACTGCTTGCAAAAAAATGCCCTGAAGTTTCAGGGTTAAGGTCTGGAATGCCCTGAGAAATCAGGGTCCCCCTAGGGGCTATGCCCTGAGGAGGACACGCAATTTTGAGCCATGCCCTGAGGGCCCAGGGTCCCTAAAAATGAATATGAGGCCCTGAACTCCATGTTTCCGCCAAAAGCAGCTTGAACCCTTCGCTGCCAATGATGGAAGAGCCAGCGGAGAGAGGCGGGGCCACCGGCGAGCCGTCGAGCTCCATACGGTCGATGAACCCACTGCTGCCCCTCCCTTGCTCCTTGCCATCGCGCGCCTTAAAGAACGCTGAGACCTGTGCGCCAGTCTCGTCGCGCCACATCACGTGAAGCTCCCTGGCAGGCACAAAGAATGGAGGGAGTACGGAATGTGCGGATCTGAATTGCAAAGAACACTGCAAAACACTGCACTGTTTACACATGTACCTTAGAACAAACCACATTTATAATCAAGAAATGTGTAACATACCTGATCCAGCTGCGAATTGGCTTCCCCTTCAGAAGCTTTGCCTTCAGCTCATGCTTGAATCGCATGACGCTCCCCATCTTCCCCTCCACTCCTACTGCTGCGACGACCCATTTCTCGATCAAGTGCTGCCACCACCTCATCAGTCAACGGCAGGCTCCCATTGGCCCTCATTCTCTTCAGCTCACTCTGTTTGTCCACGCTCAGCCTCCCCCGCTCCAGCTGCCTGATATGACGTGGCTTTTTCTCATTGGCCGCTGCTTCCAGCGCTACAGCGAGCGACTCTTCGTCCAATGATGTCGCCGTGCCGGGGAGATTCGCGATGGGTTTGGTAACCCTTGATTTCCATGTTGATGCGGATTAGTCGGTCGGAAACCAAGCAGAAGGAGCGATCGAGAAGGCCATTGAAGTCATATCGGGTGCCATCTGCACTCCGGAAATGCGGATCGACGGTCGTGCCGGCAGCGGGGTTGCACTCTCCACCGAAGAATGATGGTAGGATGTGTACATCCGAGTTCTTCACGGTGAGGCCTGCCTTTGGGCCCAGCATCGTGCATGGGCCACTGTTCGCCCATGAAATGGGAAGGGGATAAGAAGTTTTCCACAAGGGGGAAATCAGGCGGTCTTAAGAAGATAGTTTTGAGAGGGTGAAAGAGGAGGCATTGACGAGCATAGTGTTGAGAGGGGGAAAGAGGAGGCGTTGATGAGTCACACAGTGAAAGCATCTTGTAGCATCACTGAATCAATAGGCTTGTTACACAGACTGAGAGGACAAGAAAACAGTTAGAGTGGAGATTGAGTTGAAGAAGCTCAAAATCGTGCCATGAACGGACATTGTGTGTTGGAGTGGTTCTGCGAACCACACTTACGACGGCGGACATTGCGGACCGATGGCTTGGCGGTGGCTTATTGAAAATATCTAACAAACGAGAGAGGAAGCTAAGAGAGTACTTGGCGTGTGCTACATTATGGGGAAAGGAAGAAACAGGAGTGAAAGAGAAGTGACGGGGGAGGAAAGAGGAAGAAATTGATTGACGGGAGGGAAAGTTGGGTTAGATATATGACGTGTTCAACAAGTTTCTGTTTTTCAGACTTCGGGAATGTTCGACGAAAGTGTTGGGGTTGCGTGTGCGACACGACGTGAAACATGGGCAATGGTTTGCTTGTGGGACACGTTTTGGTTACCAATGTTTGTGTGTGCTTTGGGTAGAGTATAAAGTTGTTTGTACTAGGCATTTGGAATTAATACATTGAAATTCCTCGGTTGGAATTTGTGTTCAACTGTGATTGGTCGAAAGTTTGAGCACTTGGAGACATTTCCGTGAGATTCGCGTCAAACTTCCGTGAAGGCTACGTCAAGCCTTGGAGACTCGAATTTCATCCGTGAAAGGCCCGTCAAAGGCGCATCAAGGTCCCGTGAAGTGCAGAAGCTGCAGAATTCGCGTGTAGGGCCCGTTAAGGCCCCATGAAGGTTCCATGAAAGCCTCGTTAAGGCCGCGTTAGCCTCCCGTGAGGCGTTTCGCGACCAATAGCTAGTATCAGAGCTGGTTTAAGTGGCGTTTCAGCATTCCTAATAGCAGAGCGAAGCTTTCGAGATGGTCGGCGGACAATCGGAAGCTATTTCGGGCTCCTCTGTGACTATTGGAGATCCCCAAGTGAAGGCACTTCTGTAAATGCTGGCGCAAGGAGGGGTGGTAACTAAGCCTACAATAGGGCTGAGTGAAGCCCGGCGTTTCCGCGGCGTGCACTACAGCATGTGGCGCTTGAAGTTCAAAAGAAGGGCGCAGGAAGTCGGTTTCTGGGAGTATTACCGACCGGATGGAGAAGGTGACGCAGCAGCGCGTAAGGCGAGATTGGATGAAGAAAAGGAGGAATACAAGAAAAGGAGTAAGCATGCAAATTTTCAATTATGTCACTCCGTTGCTGACGCGATTGCAACGAGTATGGATGAATTTGCTGAGCGCAAGAACTCGGCACAAGCGGCATGGGCGTACATGGAGTCTACGAATCTTGGACATATGGACGCGAACATAGCCGACGTGAGGAAGAAGCTGTTGTTGATGACCATGGAGCCGAACCAAAACATTATCGACTACGTCAACATTGCTAGAAGCTACAACGACGACTTAACAGCGATGGGCGAGCCGGAAACGGAACGGGCAATGAAAGGGCACATCATCAACGGACTACCGGAGGATTGGTCGGCTGAGCGGTTGTCGTTGATCTGCAACCCACCTGAAAACATGACGGAACTTATTGCTATGCTTCATGCGTTGGAGCGAGCACGCGGAGAGCAGAAGAGAAGGGAGAAATTTACCAAGGGCGTGGAACAGGAGAAGCATGCGTTGATGAATGTGGCAGCCGCTGGAAGGGGCTCGGGAGCGTGCTACCAGTGTGGAAAAATGGGGCACCGGGCGTTTGAGTGTGAGGAGAACCCGAGGAGCAGAGATTACAAGAGGAACGGTGCGGGATGGAGTGGAGGACAGCGGAACGGGAGGTTTAGTAGTGCGTGCCACTATTATAAGAAAATTGGACATCGGGTGATTGATTGCTTCTCAAATCCCAACAGTAGCAGCTACAAAGGACCGTTGCAGCAGCAGCAACAGCAGAACGTGGAGGCAAAGGCAAACGTGGTGGAAGTTGAGAAGGAAAAGGAGGATGTGATTTTGGGGGGAGCACATCGTGCAAACGTGGTGCGGGTGCCAAAGGTAAACGAGTCATCAGATGGTGGTAAGAATATGTCGTGGCTCTTCGACAGCGGGTGCACGCGTCATATAACTTTCAGGTCTGACTTGGTGAAGAATATAAGAGAGTCAAGTGAAAGCTATATTCTGCAAGGAAATAACGAGAAATTATCGGTTATGGGAGAGGGCGAAGTGGTACTGTTGGGTCCTGATGGAGGAATGCAGCTGGAGAGTGTCCTAATGGTTGAGGACTTAAAGGTAAACCTGATTAGTCAGTCACAACTCGACGACCTTAGGTGCAAGGTATTCTATGATGAAGGTAAGGTTTTTGTGTTTGATTCTGAGTGGGAGAGATGTGCGGATGGTGTTTACAGT